GTGCTTGAATTTGTTGATTCTGAGAATAGTTAGCCAATATCTTAACAAAATCTTTACTTGAGGAAATTTTTAGTTTCCTTCGAGAATATCTTGGCATTACAATATTTATTAATTAATTACAAGTTTTCTTGGAATTACTCTTTCTTTAGGAATGTGATTAACACCTTGGGTGATCGCTAACCTTTGAATTACTTTGATTTAAGTTTCTTTTAGATGTTTCTGTTTATATTTGGTGTTTTGTTCTTTTTTACTATGCTAAATGGGGAGAAAATTTTCCACCACAATTTTTAAGACAAGGGAACCAAGTTCAAAGTTCGACACAATCCCGAAGCCTTCAAGGCAGGGGGAGCCACACATACAGAGGGAGTTACACAAACTGCCATATCTCAGGGAAGTATTATTGTCTCTCCACACACCATTTAAAATTGTGAATTAATTGTCATTATTAAAAATGGGGAAATTGTAAGATTCTTAATGTTATGTGAATTCTAATAAATGACACTTAAAACAGTACTCACAATTCTCGTAGATATGGAGATCCAATAAGGAAAGGATCCAAACAAAACAACAGTAACATGGAAATTAGCAATATATTATGATCCTTACAATTAATTCATAAAGGAAAGGTATAATCAAAGGGATTATAGAATTATTAATAGATGGACTAAATATGGTAGCAGATCAATCAAGTAAATAAGCTGGCAGAAGATCAATCATGCAAATCGTGATAGATAGGAATCATAAATTAAGACAAGAATAGAGCCAAGCCATGAAGAGATAAAGAAAGGAAATCAGTTCAAGCTAAAGAGTAAAGATAAAAGCTTCAGCATATAATCAAATCATATATGTAAAGAAGGAGGGAATGTTATTTACCATGCACATATCTAATATGGACATGGATCAGCAATTCACCTCAATGATCAAGGGATTCCTCAAATCCTTAATTGAAGTATAACTCCCTTGGATTTTCCTTACAAGATCACAAGTTTGTTCATATATATATATATATATATATATATATATATATATATATATATATATATATACCCCTTAGACTTAGATGTGAAGTACGCATTACACATAAACTTATATTATAATCTTCTTTTATCTTTTATAAAATTTTGTACACACTTGAGTGAACAATTATAATGAAAAGAAAAAGAAAGATTTGAGTGTATGTTATACAAGTAGAGGTTGTACAGAAGAAGAAGATTCGATTTTCATGTTAGACGGGACTTTGAATTGTAACATTTTGTAACACCCAAGTTCTCAACAAGCTCTTAAGGAAACCCTTATAACCCAAGAGTACTGGACTAGGCACCAAATCGGTGATTCGTACTAGTATAAAAATACTATGTGTTATTTGCTTACCGCAAGTGTTTATTACGATTTATTTATTCTACTAATGTGCAGATGAGTCGAATGGACATTACAGAAACTTGACTAAATGAAATTTTAATTCACCCCCTCTTGATTTTATGTGTTTAACTATTAAAATCACCTTTGTTGGTAGAATATCATACCTTACCGCTACACTTGTGGGTTTTCTACAAGCGTTTCAAAATAAATTCGTAGATTTCCAAAACAACCCTTAATACTTTGATGTGTCTTGCCCATGTGGAAAAACAATCCTGTGGTTAAAGTTGTTTTTTTTTGAATTATTGAACAGTTTTCATGTCATTTACTAAGTATGTGCATTTCCTAGTTTTTGACGTATTTTGCTTTATCTACTTGGTTCATAAGTGACGTATTTTGTATTGTGATTTATTTATTTGGTTCATACTGGATTTTTAAGGGTGGTGTGTTCCACCATCAAACTGGAAATTCTTAGAATTTAACGCAGCCTTGGAACAATACGATATAGAGAATGTGGGGAAGTCGTCGATCTTCAGATCTAATAGTGGTCGATGATCTTTGTAATAAATAATAAAACTAAGTGATTGTATGGTGGTATGTGAGGTCTCTCGAAATATGGGTTAGAGCCCGATGGAAGTCTCCGTGACACATTCAGTGTCGTCAGCCAATGGAGAAAGTTGAAGGTGAAAACATAAGTATTGCTGAAGAGTTTTTAGGGAAAGAGTACTGTTGAGAAATATATGGTGATATATTCTTCCGCTGCCCCAATTATTAGTAATAAATAAGTCATCCACAAGAGAACACAAATTTCAACAATGAAAACATGCCTACTCATGATAAAGAGAACAAAACATAATAATTCGAATAAACAAATTAACAGAAAAAGGGGAAATAAAGTGCCTATTGATAAAGAGGAAACAAATTTAGCTGAAATAACAAAAAATAATAGCGACTCGTGATAAATAAAATGGAACAAAGGTAGATAAAGACATATACAGTAAAGAGAAAAAACAGAGCAACTCTTGATAAATAAAGTCGAGAATTTTTTTTAACCATGTATTTGATTGAGGCACAAAAATGTGAAATAGACAATGGGACAATGGCATGTTGGATATATTTATATAGATGAGTAAAGTATTTGACTACTTTTGGAACATATGATAATAAAATTAATGGAACTTGAGTGTTAAAAATGACTATTGCAATGATCGAGGAAGGTTGACCAACAATCATACATTTTTGGAGAGTTAAATTAGGGTTGAATCAATAAATTTAATTTTTCATAAATTAGTAATATTTAAGTAATACCGTAGGGGCAAAAAGGGTATATATATATATACACACACACACACACATACATACATAACCATCAATTAGGTTTCGCTTCTTTCATAGGACATTTTCCCTCTCTTTTTAAATTTCTTTGCTTTCTCATTTTAATCATAGTTGCTAATCTCATTTAAAGTTTAACATGTAGACACATGATTCCTACATGGCATAATACGCAAGACACCACGTAGGATAAAAAATGACATGTTGGATGTCATGTAGGACACGTGTGTCTATTTATTTAAGTTTATACAAATTTAAGTGTCTACTTGTGCACAACAAAATTTGAAGGACATAAATGTGATTTGAAGCCAAGTTAAAGGTCATATTCATATATTATGCCTTTATATTATATATATACTTTCGAAAATAGCCACTAAAATAAACTAATTATGTTCCATAGCTATAGTTTGAATATTTACGAGTTGTAGCTACAGTTTAAGCTGTCTCGTTTGCATTATTTGTGTTTTTTTATGATGCTTAGGTTTGTATAATTCGTGGGTACTTTTGTATTATTAAGTTATTTTTGTATAAACCTGTGATAACAAATTTATACAATTACAAACATCTGAAGTGTAAACAGTTATATATACAGATTATATTAAACAATATTTGAACTATAGAAAGCTGCGGATTATACAAAACTAAAAAGCTTAGCCGTGTAATTATAATTAAAAGTAGGTTGTGAATTGTAATTAAGGCAAACTATTGTTATGTTAACTAATTAACTAGTATATGTTTGCGGGTAATCATATATTTATATAATAGAAAATCTTAGGTCCGCTTACGTGGCGCCACCACAAACAAAGATTTCCTTTTAAAATTATTTATATCCAAAACTAGACTTCCCTTTCATGAGAAGTTGTAACTTTTATGAAAAAATGCAACTATGAAGAATTGCGATTTTTATGAAAAGTTGCAACATTAATGAAGATTTGCTACTTTTATGAAATGTTGTACGAAAGGTTGTGACATTTTCGAAGGATTGCAACTTTTCCAAATAGTTGTGTCATTTTCGATAAGGCACAATAAACATTTGTTCACACTATCTTAAGAAATGTTATTGTGAGTAATGTTTTATGACTAAAACGTGAATCAAAATAGCTTATTATAAAATGTTGCTCACAGTAACATTTTTAGTGTAAAACGTTAATCACACTAACATTTTTAAGTAAAACATTACTCACAGTAACGTTTCTCAACTTAACGCTATCAACACACAACTAAATTTTTAAAAATAAAATATACCCTAAAATGTTACTTTACAATTTATTTATACTACTAGTTTTGTAATTTTTTTAAAAATAAAAGTACTATTTTGATAAATTGCTTTAAATAATGGCTTAATTTGGTCAAAAACTTCATTTTTATAGTCATTAATTTATACTTATGTTATTAGTAATAACTGATAAATATGTTATTATTTTTTTAATTAGTGTTTCTTATAACTACCTCATTTGTTTGCACTTAATGGAGGTCTGAATCTTAATCATTCAGATTCAACCAATTAAGTACGTATGATTTTTAGGTTTCGATCTGAATCATTCAGATTCAGTCCATTAAGTTCATTTTTTTTAAAAAAAAACTCTTAATGGGTCAGAAGAGGTCTGCGTGAATCAGATATGTAGGAGATTCTTAACAACATTTAGACTCATTTAATAAGTTATCAAATAATAAATCATCGTTTCTATGCTGTAAGCGTGTCTTTTTATCTCAAATTAAAAAAATTTTCTCTCTCTTTTCTCAATCAAACACCATTTTCCCCCTTTTGAACTGGTAAATTTTCATAAATTCTTTCAATTTTTTTATATTATTTCTTGTATTGACTGTGTCAAGAAAACTGTTGGTTTATTGGTGTTTATCAAAAATTTTGAATGAAAAAAATTGTACTCCAAAATGATTATTAAGACTTTTAAAACATTTTTTATTTTTTCAAAAGTGGTAAATTTTGTTGAAATGAAAATTTTATGATATTTTATTAATTTAATGTTAATTTCACATGCACATTCAAATATTGAAAAAAAACATCATTTATTATGTAGTGTTCAGATTTATTGACCACATCTTAATATTCAGATGTATATTCAGGTCTAAACATCTAAATTTTAATGCAAATCTTAATATTCAAAGGTGTATTCAGATTCAAACCTCTTAATCTTAATAGAAACAAATAAGGCCTACGTAATCTTATATGTTAATTAATGTCGTGTTTTAATTTTAATGATGATTATTTTTAAATATTATTTTATGAATTTCATGATATTAAGTTGTCACACCAATTACTAGTTCTATAATTATGATGGAAGACTTTATATGAACTAACAGAAGTATGGTAGGTTATTTTATTTTCCATTTGACTTTAACTTTTCCAAAACAACAAAATTGAGGCATGGAGGCGGCTGCCGGAGGAGGACATCAGCTGAGTGATCTGCCGGAGCGAATTCTACTTCACATCCTCTCTAAGTTGTGGGAACCATCATACTCTCTACAGGATTCTTTTTTACTTTCCCCAATAGTCAAAATCAAAAATGACATTCTTGCTTTCCTAGCCTAAATATGTTGCCATGGACTGATCTCTTGACTCCAAGGTTCCACCAGATCAATTAACTGATCTGCTATCCTTGATTGAGGTATTGACGATTCATCAATAGTTGGTGTAATTGTAACATAGATAAAATGATATTTTTATTTTGTTTTGTCCAGCTTTGGAAGAATTAGAAATCCAATATTAGAGTTTGATATATTTCAACAATATTACAAGTTTAAGAATTGATGAAATCAGAGATACTTCTCTGGAATTGCAACTCTAATACATATTCTCAAATTCAGACGTATAGTCAATAGCAATTATAATACCTGGCTGTTTGGAGGTATATTGTGTCAAGTGTTTGATTTATGTGTTAGTGTATTCTTGGAAAGCCAAGTGCATAGAACATGATATTTAAAAAAAATTCTCTTATTGTGGCGTGATGATTGTTCCACTTCTCACAATTTGGGACATCGAATAGCATATCATCTGATTTCTCATTAGAATTTGAAATATTAGATATTAGATATAAGATTAAACATCCTTACTATATATGCATAATTTGGTTAGATGTCATTACTATACATTCATAATTTATTAGATGTCGATAATATATACATCAATTTTGCTTCTTATTAAAGACATTTTCTCTTCTTTTCTTTTCTTTTTTCAATTTTATACTCTCTTTTTAAACCTAAAGATTTATAAAAGGGACTTTTGATAGTTCTGTGCACTGAATTTGAGTATATCATAGTGGATAGACCACCGTTACTCCATTTCAATTCATCATTACCAATGTTATCTATACTCCATGGGAAGGCAGAAGAAAGTCATGGCGGCGGCCAGAGGAGGACACCGGCTGAGTGATCTGCCGGAGTTGATTCTAGTCCACATCCACTCTATGTTGTGGAATGCAAAACAAGTTGTGCGAACTAGCCTACTCCCTACACGATGGCGATTTCATTGGATATCCGTTCCATTAAAACTCTCTCACTTTCTCCTATGGTGGAAATCAAAATGACATTGTTTGTTACCTGGCATCCGTCCATAAAGAGCTTTATTATTGGAAATCTTGCAAGAAAATTAAGAGCTTTGGTATCGGGGGGGGGGGGGGCTTAGGTATGATGAGATTTATTCTAAAGATGTTGATTTTTGGATACATTTTGCTGCTAAAGTTGAAAATGTTGAATTCTTTTCACTTTCATTGATTACTGCAAGCCAACAATGTTATGAGTTTCCGCAGTTCGGGTATAAAAACTCGTCGTTAAAGCAATTCAAATCAATGTGAATTGAACCTTTGTGCTAGTGTTAATTGGAGTAATTTGTTTTTTCTTTCAATTGGGTTCATGGAATTCATGGATGGTGCTGTGGAAAAGGTATTATCTGGTTCCACTATCTTGGAACACTTGGAAGTAAAAAAGAGTTTGGGGCATACAACGTCTGGAAGTAGATCTGTGAAGATGACAGTATTGACGATAGAAGAGTACTACGATAAGAATCATGATATTTTCCTTGAAATATAGCCCTGCAGGTTGAACATTTTGGAAATCTGGGGATTGTGTAGTCAGATACGCATCATGTAGAGAAATGTTTCTTCCCTTAATTATGCTATCCTTCATTTTCATTTTGATTTTAAGGTTGAGGAAAGCAACTTAGAGAAAGAGTTTAGCTGTTTGAAGAAACTTCTTCATGGTGTTGCCCAGGTCGACTGTCTTGAACTGAGTAGCTGGTGCATCAAGGTTTATTCATACTCTTCACTATCCATAATTCTTGATTTTTTTATCTGTTGTTGAATCATTACTATAGTAATATTAAGATCGTCACTACTTAGGATAATTTGATAACTAAGTTGCTAAGTACTCTATAGTAAAGAGTTTGCAATTGATAGAACAATGTATAAAATTTGGTTTGATTTATATTGATCTTACTTCAAGTCGTCTTTGGATTTTCAAACCTACCATGATTAATGTGGAAAATCACAGTTGTATAGTCAACGCTATTTTATGGGAATTATTCAACGGTTTGCATCTCATTTATCGAGTATGCCATATTTCCATGTTTTGACATATTCTACTTTATCTTTTTGATTTATAAGTGCATGTCCATTCCGAAGTTGAAAGCGTGGCAGTCTCCAACAACAAGCTGGAATTTGTTGGACCTTCAAATAAAATAACGCCAGTTAGACTTTCCTGGAATTTACAGCTTGCTACAAAGCTCATTGGATATTGAGACATTGTTCATTGATTTGCATGGGGATTCATCAAGAGTAAGTTTTTTAGATCTTTATTTCTATTACGTAAAGGGCGTACTTGACTTCTTTACGTGTTAAAAAGATAAGCCCCTGCAAGGAGGACTCCCATTTGTAATTTGATGCAGAAATAGGTTAAGTGCTTAATAAGTTTCACAAGTAATGTAGCTAACAAGGTGTCACTTTTGCTTTTTGCGGCTACAATGTTGCCTTTGTCTCTATGCATTTTCTTGATGCCTTCTATGATTAAACCAATCACAAAAAAGGAGCTTCACAACAATATCTTCTTGCTTGTGGAGATTCTCCTTTTACTGTGTTTTCACAAGAACTAAAAAGGAGAAAATGTTATTTGTCTCACCTTTTTCTTCTTTTTTTTCCTTTCTTGAAAAAAAGGAGAAAAAGGTGAGAAAAATAACATTTGATTTGGCATAAGGATCAATCCGGGAAGTTCGTTTTGTTGCACTGTTTGAGATAAACTTTGGGTTTTCTTTCGAATTTTCCACTTGTCAATTATTAAGTTCCCTCTAGCTTCTCTCGGCAGTGAGTTAAGGCCAAAAATTTTATTCACTACGTCCCATAGATGATTGTACCCACCCTAACTAAAGAATCAGACACACATAGACTTCACTATAAAATTGTGTCACTTTGATCAACTTTTTAGTATCTTTTGTGATAAATTAATAGTGCCAAAAAGTTTTTGTAACTCCCTTGAAAGCATTCACTATAAAATAAGCGAGGGCAGTCTTTGTCCCAAATGTTTCTAATACAATGTTCAAGACACCATAGGTGATTGTCTCAATGAAAATGATTTCTAAGTGAACTTTTGGAAAGTGTTGGAAAAAGACGCTTCACAAATGATTGTTCTTACCTTCATGTGAGGGGGGTAAATGATCAGATTTGATGAAGCTTTAAAACATTTTTATTGTTGTTTGCATGTATTACACTGTATGTAACATTTGCTAAGCACTTTAGATGTTTCTTTCAGTTTAAAAATTCCTGACCTTTTTATTATATCCACTATCAACACTTTGGCTCCAGGTTTTCATCTAAGGAGAGTAACTGGTTAACATAGTGGTTTCTTTCCTACAGGGCTAGTTGTTAATGTACACAAACAAGGGTAAACAAATCCACAGGTTTGAGACACATAACTTTAACGGCTCATTTACACACCTGAAGACTGTCGAGATCATTAGCCGTAGGGGACTACTAAGTGAAAATAAGTTTCTACTGCCACTGGTAAAATATTTTCTCAAACATACTATCGTGCTAGAAAAGTTTGTCTTTGTCGTATTATTATTAAGGATTGATGTGTTTCCAGATGATGCTCAAATGACACAGGAGTTACTAAGCCTTCCAAGATCATCTCCACACATTTCAATTGTCATTTCTCATCCATAACTTTTGGACCCTATGTTTTGGGACAATTGCAACATCTCAAACTAAATTTGTAAAGAAATCTAGCAGTGGAACCTTTGAAGGAAAAGTTTTTTTGTAAACTGAGAAGTCTATTGTAATATATCTATGGTTGTTGAAACATTTATGTTACTATATTTGTATGAACATATCGAGAAGTTCTATCGATGGATAAGCACTTCTGTAAACTGATGCAAACCAAATAATAATAATGCACTCCCTTTGAAAGTTTTTTTTTTCCATAAATGAATGTATAATCTCACTTAACCCTAAATTTATAATGTCAAACACGAACGAATTACTATAACAAAAATAATTTTTAGCAACAATAATTATATACATTAATAAAGAGTGTTAAATCTTTATAGGTATTAGCTAAGTGTTATTAAATTCATTGTCGCTAAAGTCTTTAGGGACATATACAAAAAGTTTTAATTGCCGCAAAAAAAACATATTTTGTGGCAATTGAGTTATTGTCGCTAAAGGCATTAAGGACATATATAAAAGTGTAAATTGCCGCTAATTTTTTTCGCTATATATTTTATGGTAACTAAGATATTGTTGTTAAAGAATGTCCCTATAAATCATTTTTGATGTAGTGAATTGATTGGACAGTCAGAAGAGTTTAAGATGTTATAGTCCAGTATTGTTAAGCTCATGGCACACAAGTTCATGTTATCTAAAATATCAACAAGGTAGGAATAGTCCGTACATTCCTCAGTGATAAAGTCTGTCAATATCTCTTTATTCTTTTAAGACAGCTATTTCTCAAGTTCCATTGCTACACCTAGAAATTTAATAAACAGGTAGTCCACGAGTTTATTTGGGTTACCTTGGCGACCATGCATCTAGGAAAGTATCAACAGTATGTGGATAGTCAAAATGTCACCATAATCTCTAGAGAAAATTTTGAAAAGTCACTATATATAATGAACTTAACGAGGCTCCTTAGCTACAGTTTGCATATTTACGGGTTGTAAACTATATTTTAAGCTGCTATGAGCGACCTCGTTTGTATAATTTTGGGATAAGGTACAAGTACCCCTATACTATGACCGAAATATCAGAGACACGTCTTAACTAAACAAAGGTCCTATTACCTCCGAACTTATTCAAAAAAGTTTAGACAGAATGTTCTTAATTGGTATTCTTAAAGTTCATTCAAAATCTTGTTGTTTTGGGGTTTTGATGATTTGTTGAGACGAAATTGAGTAATTTGAGAGTCATTTTCAGTAGATTAGAGTGTATTAAATTTAATTAATTGAATGCAAGTGCTTGGGAAAGAAACCGTTTGATTCTAGGAGAGTTAGGGTGAGAAAATGAGCAAGGAAACTGTTGGATTTTCTGGGTTGGGCCCTAGACAGAGCGCCCCAAACCCTCCTCTTAGCTTTAGAGGATGGCGCACCGTGCCACCCATAGCGCCAGGGTTACCTGCCCCATCCAGTTTGTCTTCAGTTGTTCCGTTTGAGTTCGTTTAAAGTGCACCTTCACTCCTTTTCGAGGGATACTCTTGGGTACGAAAGAAGGATATCCGAGCCTGGGAACATCTCTTTGATAGCATTGTTTGGACTCCTTTACGCTGTAAATCCCTCCACATTGGTTATGGCTGAAGCCGATCCTCTCCTTGGTACTTCAGCTAGTGGCTAATCTCAAGTTTGTTCTCTCGATCGGATGTGCCTATGTCACTAGAACATGTGAGGACTAACTAATATAAGGTACTTCTAAACACATAAAATCATTCATAACATGACAACAACCTTCAATTCATAATTCAAATTCAATGTAGAGTTGAGAGTTAAGTTTTTAGAATTCTTTTGAACATTATGAGAAAGTCCTTTTAAAGAGTCTTCTACAACTTCCAGTAATTTTAACTAAGTTCATAGAAAGTAAGTATGAGAATGAAAAGATTTGTATTCACGAGTTCCATATTATTATGTAGACCTTCGAGTCGAATCATTCATGCCCATAACTTCCACATGAACTCGATTTAGTTAAGTACCTTTGAAAAGAGTAGTATCTTCAAGTTCTAAGTCTTGAGTAATAAGTTTCTAACACATTTGAGTTTATATTTCTAATCAAGGGACTATAACATGTTACCATGAAGTTATTGAGTTGAATTGTTCATGGTCATAATTCCGCATGAACCCTATAAGTCGAACAATCTTGAGATGAGAAGTGTATTTGAGTCCTTGAATTGAGTAGCTCATGCTCACAATTCCGTATGAACCCCCCCCCTCTATGTTCTACATCATGAAATCATCCATAAACATGAGATCACGAACCTTGAATCCATAATCAAATTCAAGGAATGTTAAGAATATCAAAGTCAAGAGAAGTTAAGAGTCAAGTCTAGAAGTTAAGAGCGAGTCAAAGTAAAGTTTTTAAAAGTCTTTCCCAAACATTTGTAAATTTCAAGTTGAGTAAAGAGTAAACATTGAAGTCTTTTCATCAAAGAAGTATATGGGGACTATGTCTTCCCAAAGAGTTCAAAAAAATTTCACATTTGACAAAGAAAGGGAACATTGATTATGAGAGAGATTTTAAGCTATGTTTTGAGTAATTATCTCAAACTAAAAAAAGAAGTTGTCATATGAGCTAAGTATATTTTTAGGAGTAGTATTGACCACCGATACAGAGATGAGAGTTCATATTAACTCAATTATCCATAAACCATGTGTTCATCATGGGTATTAAAATATCATATTTTTGAGATGATCACTTAAGTTAAGCTGGTGAATCCACTAAGTAGAGCGTTCTATATGACGTCAAAGTATATGAAAATTCTGGCAGCGTGGGCAAAACGTTGTATCACCACTTAGTCTCATAGTGATGGTTCTCGGTTAGAGAAACCTTTACAATAGTAATTGCATGGCTCCTCAAGAGGTTTTGCAGTATGAATGGGGGTATGGGACTTCATTCATGCATTGCACAACAAGACTTTGAGAGGGATCATGGTATGTCTTTTATGATATAATGATTATGAGTTGAAATCATGTTTATATTACACTTGTTTTAAACTATTTTATATTGAAATGAGTTCAGTTAAATATCAAGAGTTGAGTATTTCGAGTTGAATACCTCAAGTGGAGTATCTTGTATAGATTGCGATTTATTGAGTCGAGTATCATATCTTTGAAGTTGAGTATCTCATATTTGAAGTTGAGTATCTAATATGTATGTTTGAGTCTCTTATCCTTGAGTACTTCTGAGTTGAGTAAGTCAGTAGTTTTGAGTATCCTTATGTACTTCTTGAGTTGAGTACGTTTGAAAAGAGGTAAGTATGTATTTAGTTTTTTCAAGTTCAAGCTTATGTTATGTTTTATAATTCCCCTAATTACATGCTCATATATTCCACATACTGAGCCATTTGGCCTGCACCTTTACATAATGCCGACACATGTATTCAGGATCATCAACAGGAGCTTCGTGGATAGATTTGAGAGTTCGAGTTAACTATGATGAGCCTCCTTGCTTTCAGAAGATTTCAATTACCTTTCAACTATATAAGTTGTTAGGATGTTTTAGGTCTTGTACCGTATTCCATCATTGTCATTTAGAGGCTTCATAGATAGACAGTAAAGTTTCAGAAGTCTGTATCATTTATTTTATTAAATTTCTTAAAGACTTAAGTTGCCTATTTTATGACAAGTTGAATATCATTATTTTTATTCAGAGTTTTTAATTTGAGTTAAAGCCTTTTATTCGGTCATGTCCAGGGTGTAGGCTCGGGTAGGGACAATTATTCTCCTGAAATTTCTACCATAATTACATGTTTCACTTGCGGTGATTTTGGTCATAAATCTTTTAATTGTAGAAAATATTTTTCTGGAAAGGGGAGTTGGAGACCAAAAGTAACTAATCATCAAGGATCCAAAAATTCTTGGTAACCTAAAAGAAACTAATCTTATTGCTTTTGTAGGAGCAATCCAAGAAAACCTACAGAAAAAGAATGTGGGTACTTGACAATGGATGCTCCAGACATATGTGTAGAAAGAAAGAAACTTCAAAACTATAAAAAGAATAGATGGCTGGATGTGTCAGATTTGGAGACAATGCTAAAATGGAAGTAACTAGAGTTGGGACTATTACACTCAACTCATCATGCGATCTAATCAAAGTGTATTTGGTTGAGAAACTCAAACATAACATTCTCAGCGTTAGTAAACTATGTGATGTTGGATTTCAAGTTACTTTCAATACAACCAGCTCATCATCAAACATCCTAAGAAAAAGCTAACTCTTATTAGAGATCGATTTAATAAAATATATGTTTTAAATAATATTGATTTTCCATTTCTTACTTGTCTTACTGTAGTCTCAAGCAATCTTTGGATATGACATCTAAAGCTTGGACATACAAGTATGCATGCTCTTGAAAACTTTCTAGACTTTAACTAGTCATTCGTCAGCCTAAACTAAAATTTGAGAAAGATCATATTTGTAGCACATATCAAATGGGAAATAAGACTCGATCATCCTATAAAGGAAAAGATATTGTAAGTACTTCAAAAACCCTTCGGCTCTTTCACATGGATTTGTTTGGTCCTACTCGAATGGAGGTAAACGATATGCATTTGTTAAAATTTTTGATGACTTCTCAAGGTTCACATGGATAATCTTTATAACTCACAAAAATGAAGATTTTGCTACATCATTACAACTATTCATATTTATTATGATGGTGAATTCAACAATAAATCTTTTGAAAAATTATGCGCTCAAAATGGTTTCACTCAAAGCTTCTCTTCACCCAGATCAGCTCAACAAAATGGGGTTATAGAGAGGAAAAATTTATTACTAAAAGATACAACAAGAACTATGCTTCTCGATCAAAATCTTCCCGATCATTTTTTGGCAGAAGCTGTAAGTATTGTTTGTCATATTCTTAACAGGTTTTTATCTGACCTATACTAAAGAAGACTCCATATGAACTATAGAGAGGTAAGAAACCAAACATCAGCTATTCCCATCCATTTGGATGCAAATGTTTCATCCAGAATAACAGTATGAACAATATTGGTAAGTTCGATGAAAGAAGTGACGAAGGTATTTTTCTAGGTTATGCTCCCGGCCTTTCGTGTTTTTAGTAAAAGAACTTTAAGTGTTGAAGAATATGTTCATGTGATATTTGATGACACTAATACAAGATTACAGGAAAGTGAAGTAGGCGATGATGAAATTGATTCATTCAAACTAGCAAAAGATATTCAAAAAGTGTCCACTGAAAA